GGGTTTGATAAATGTAGTGTCTACACTTATTTGGAATCATAAATGATGATATTTTTTTATTTTTGGACGAATTAGTACTTAATTTGTTAATTATTGTTTTATTAGGAAAAGTTCATGTTTCAAATAAGAATTGAAAGAAAGAATAAAAAAAAGGGTAAAATGAAGCAAATCCAAAATTTGGGGACTAAAATGCAAATACTTAAAAGTTATTTCAGACCTCACGATGAAGATTCGAGAGTGTCTTGGTCAATTAGATGATGAAAGAAGTCAAATAGATAAATTATAGTCAAAATATCATCATACATCAACTTTCAACCGAAAAAGTTATACTTTGAATTTTTAGTCTCATATTGAGACCTAATTTTGGCATAGCAAACTTTCGAATTGAAAAAATGATATCAAAGAGGAATTGTAGCTCTCTGAGTAAGCTTTCCAACACATTTCGAATCACCCCAATCGAATATCAGGAGAGAAAATTATGATAAAATACTAAAAACTATTTGGCTACTGAAATTTAGTCAAGGCGCACGACCTCGCCTGTAAGAGAGGCACGCGCCCCCAACCAATAAGGATGTAACTAAGGCACCCAAGGCTCCCAGGCGTGCACCTCAATGTTAAACATGAAAAAATTTAGGTTTTCTTATTTTATTTTGGTAAGAAGTCTTCTTGACATCATATAAATAAGAGAACACACCCATATCATTGAAAACCTCACTTAAACATAAAAATTCATAGTTTCAACGTATTTTGGAGGCGATGAACGAGGCTACATCATTAATATAAAGGGAATTGTGCAAGATTCTTAAAAATTATCCATCCAAAATCAAGATTTCATTCAAGAAAGTGAATTTCTTTACTATTTCCATATTTTTTCGATACGGGTGATGTCTTTTCATTATTTCTTATATAATTTAATAATTAGGATGGTAGGCTTAGTTTTTTATTATATTGGATGAATGATGTACCCTATTATTTTTTTATTTTAATTCAAGATAATTAGTTTAGTATTTCATGACTTTTCTTGATTGATTTTGCATTCTCATTGACCTATTTAATTATTTGACCACTAATTAATTAGTAAGTTGCTTGTTGTAGTGTAGGAATACTCACAATAAAGCCATCTTTGATAGGCTATGATTTCCATGGAAAATGGAAAATGGAAAATGAATTCCACTTTCCCACTTTTGCCATGCTTGATGGCAAATTTTTTCCATTTCCTTCCATTACGCACCCATTTTCCTGTTTTTGGGAAGTTCCAATTCTTAAGGGTATGATGAGAATTGGTTTTCTAGGCAACTTTTTTTCTTTTTTCTTTTTCCTTTTTTTTAGCAATGGAAACAAATTATATCTCTAATTGTAAAAAATTGTTTTCCTTAAATTGACAATATTTATGAAAAGTAAAGCCAAACGAACACGAAAAAACACTTTTATTTCAAAAATTTTCAGGTGAAAAATTATATCATCAAATATAATAATTGATAATTTTCAGTAAACAATTTCTAGGCAATTCAATTCCCTGAAATTCGTTTTCTTTCCACCCAAATTTCATCTTTACAATCAAATAGACCCTAAGTCTAAAATGCAGTAAAATCAACACATGGACAATAGGTATTAGAAATAATATTTATGGCATATGCAATCAAGTGTGACAAATTCTGTGAATCAACATATGTTTTTCATATGAATTCGGATTAGGAATAGGATCGAGTCATGTTAAACATAGTTTTAATATGTCTTGGGGAAAGAATATTAATAAAAGTGGATTATCAATTGTCTTGAATACATGAATTTATTAAATTATGAATTAAGAGTTGAATTAAATGGCAATAGAGGGATTCACGATTCCAATACAAGCATTTACAAATTAAATAAATAATTTATTTACTTTGTTAGCTTAGAACTAGTGTAGAGAACATATAAATCACAACTTTCTAGATATCACCACACTTCGAATTTAATAGTAATTATTGAACTACAAATTAGATATTATTTTTTGTGGGAACGATACTCTTAACTCACAAATTTTATTACTTGTACAATGATCCTGTACACTTGCGGGTTTTCTATGAACATGCCTCGTGCCTCTGTTATTGGCAATCTTTTATAGTGCATGTTTGGTACTGATTTTTTACCCCAAAAAATTAATTTTTTGACCGTTATTTCACTATTCAAGTCGTCATTTTTTACTTCTTCTCTCACAGGTAGGATCCACTTTTTTATCCAACGATCAAAAAATCAATTCTCAAAATAACTACTGAACAAGCCCATAGATTTTATAGAAGTATTGAAATCCATTATATTATCAAATTTTATAATTTAGATAAAACTTGGCCATATAATAATTCGATGATCTCTTTTAACACTTTTTAAAATTTTCAAATGTAAAGAGACCCTAAAGTAAAAGCTCATAACTAAAGAACCAAAACGCTTGGTTGTCCAGATTGGACAAACTGAGCCAACTTTTCTTTAATTAATCAAAATAAAGAAGACTTTTATTAAAGTAATTGCATTATAAAACTCTAATTCAGATTTTATTTGCAACTGAAAGGCAGCACGATACAGTGCATTGCACTAGCAAGTGAGATGAAAAGGTAACTAAAAACAACTTAAGTAGGAGAATGCTATTTACAGACGTTTACTGTCGTAGTCGTCATACGTGACATATATATGACTGTTAGTAATTTGATGCGTAAGGCAATATAAAAACTACCACATTAATACATTAAATCACTAACCGTAATGCATTAAGTCACTAACCACCATATATATGCCCATAGAGTGATTGTGATAATAAGCGATTTCAAATAATATTATTCAATTAAATAGGCATTAGCAAGTTTTTTAGAGAGGTGCCTCATAAAATGAAAAGACATCAAGTATCAATTTATCCCTTTGGATTTTTTCCCTCAAAATATCTTTCGATTATTCTTATTTCTTATATTATTATTATTATTATTATTATTATTATTATTATATATAAATAATAATAATAATAAATTTTGAAACAAATATTGCTTGAATTTCGTCCAAACAGATGTGAGAATTATTGAAATCCACCAAATAAGAAGAAAAATCGAAATATTATCTATCAAAAGCAAGTGTAGGATTTTCAAGAATATTAAAGAGTCGAAACAAATTCTAATCAAATCACAATTTTAATTCAGTAGACAAATCTGAATAAAACTAAAAATTGCAAAAATGACCAAAATACTCTTAAACTAATTAAAAAAAAAAAAAAGTTAAAACGAACCCCCAAACGTTGACCCAAAAGTTTGATGTGCAAAATCGAAAAAAGCTTTCAAATTGTACTTGCTCCCAATAATTCGACGCGTGATCTGAAAGTTGTGCACATTTCATATGTCCTTTTTTCTTCTTTTTTTAATTACTCTAGAATTTTTTCTTCCAAGTGTTCTACGTTAATATTAGAGCATAAAAAGAAAGCAATGAGAATTTCTCACCGTCGTAATATATATGCACTAATTTCATTTTATTTTATCCTTGACTATGTCGTAATTAAATTAATATTTGGTTTCAATAGAAATATCACGTTGACCATTATTGGGATAAGGCAGAATAAACCATTTTATATTGTTTTATTTTTCCTGCCATTTTCTCATATAAAATAAGACCAAATGATTAAAAGAAAATACAAACCCAAGCCGGCCAAAAACTATAAAAAAAAAAAAAAGACTAACACCAGTTTATTGTAAAAAAAGACTAGATACATATAATTTTCTTTATTTTTAATTACGTTGGAAGAAGGATATGGAGAAGTGAGATCGAACCTCCAACTTCTATTTGAGAAGTTTTCACTTGAATCACTAGAGATTCAAGTGTTCTTGTCCATGTGGTCTTCTTTTGGTTCATTAAAAATAAAATAAATAATTTATACATGAATAAATAGTATCTCGTCTTACTGAATAAAATAAAAAACTCATTGCTCTTACAATCATATCTATCTCGACATCTCTTAAGTATTGACATGATAATTATCTTTACATTTTTATCTTAACATTGAAACTGAAAAATAATCTTTTAGGTAATACCCATTCCTTCAAATTGTTTTAAAAAAGAAAAAAAAGAATTTGTGTAGAAGTTGTTTTCAATCGTACATTACCCTATCTTCATTGTTAAGAAATAAAAGCAAATCCCTATGATCTTACATTCTTTAATAATTTATAGAAAGCAAAAAGGATTTCCATTAATCAAATCAAAAGACCTTTTGGCAATTCCCTTTATTTACTTTTATCTTTATGCTCCCACTTTCAAAATGCTTTGTATCTCACCCAACCCAACCTGATGTAGGGCCCACTTTAGAGTCTTTCAAACCAACAAGATTATGACGTGGATCATTATGTGGACAAAAAGTCCAACATTAACTTTATACTCTTTGCTCTTGGCGGCTCCCATACTATTATACTCTCTTTTTCTTTTCATTGAATTTTATGTCTAAAGTCTTGCATTTTATGCACTTTTTGCTCTTTCTCTTTTTAATTTAAGTTTATAGTCAAACTTATGAACCCTTCACACATTACTCAAACATATGGTATAATATCCAAAGTTTTATTAAACTCAAACGAACAAATCTATCTGCTCAAAGTTCAAACGAGTATTCAAAGTTTAATTTAAGCGTGTTTAAATGAGATACTATCTTAAAAATAGAATCTATTATTGAATACAGATGAAACAAATAAATAACATATAAAGGTTAGGACTATTTAGTGGTGGCTCTGCCCATGTACGCACGTGCTCGTAAGCTCACAAGCTGAGCCAAGCCGAGTCCACGAGCTCAAAATTTAAAAAAAAAAAAACATTTACTTTTTTGTTCATATTTTTTACGAGCTCATGAGTCATTCGCAAGCTTGACGAGTGCTCGGCTCATCGAACAAACCCCCAACTCGGCTCGGGCTTGTTTGGGTTTGTCCCGAAACGAGCCTGAGCTTTGACGAGTTGAGCCGACAAATTATTTGACCCTTTTGCCACCCCTATGGCTACTCTTAAAATTGACGTTTAGAATGAAATCCAAATCCTAATATCCCGCACTGGAACAATGCACTTTTTCTTTTGCTTTTTTAGGGCATATATTCACCGCTCACTCTCATTTGTGAGAAAGAGAGAGAGTCCCATTTATAGATATCAACCACCTAAGACTCCTTCATCAAACATAAACATTCTTTCTCACTCCAAACTCTCTCTCTAGATCTTTTTCGTAATATGGCTGAGGTCCAAGACAGCAACAGTTCATCAGGGATCAAGTTATTTGGTGCAACGATTGCAGTGCAGGAGAATGATCATCGTGGGAAGGATGACGATCATGCAAAAAAAGGAGATCTATCGGTAGAGAAAAGGCCAGACAAGATCCTCCCATGCCCCAGATGCAAAAGCATGGAAACAAAATTTTGTTACTTCAATAACTACAATGTTAATCAGCCAAGACACTTTTGTAAAGGCTGCCAAAGGTACTGGACCGCAGGAGGGGCCCTCCGGAATGTCCCCGTCGGTGCCGGTCGCCGGAAAGCTAAGCCACCGTGCCAGGGTCTGTTACCTGAAAGTTGCTTGTTTGATGCTTCTGGGATGCAAGTGCAACAGATGGAGTTTGATTACACGGTTGTGGAGCAGTGGCAAGTGGAGGAGCACGGCGGTTTCCTGCATCGTTTTCCGGCGAGCAAGAGGAGAAATACCTCTAATAGTCAAACTTGTTGATGAATGATCTTCTTCTTTGTCTTGTAGTTGGATGGGAAAAAAAAATATTTCTAGTTGCCCAATCTTCTTGACTTGTATACAATTTGTCCTAATTAAAATATTTAAAGAATTAATCCATGATTAGATGAACCATACAATTTGAATATTAAAATCAAAACAATAGATTAGGTGAATTTTAGACGTTGGTGATAATCATGAAATTCAATAGTAAGTTGAGCGGTAAAAGGATCGAAGAACATGGGTCCCAGCAATTAAGGGCTCCATTAATTAAGGTTGCAGGCATAAGAGTAAACTAAATTATTTAGGAAGGAACTAGATAAAATATTAAAACATTGGTTGTACTAATTAATTGACAAAATTAATACAAATATATATTATAGTATGTGAAATGAATATGAGAATATAAAATATGTAGATTGATTAATAATTGTTGACAATTAATCTTTTTCGTTTTATAGAAAATTAAGAAACTCTTTTAAAAATAGAACTATCGTTTTTAATATTTTGTGATCGTTATATAAGGACCGTTTATTTTAGTGTTACTTTTGTCACTGAATTTTAACGTGTTTCAAATCATCACTATGTTTCATTTATATCATTAATTCAGTTTGATATTCATTTTTCAATTGAAAACCTTATTTGTTTGTGTGCCAAGCCATCAATTCAGTTGGATTTTTAGTTGAATCCTATAATATGGCACACAAATATGTTGAAGGTAAAGTTAAAAAATTAACGCCAAATTAAATCAGTGGCCAAAATTATAGTAAGTCTAAAGTTTATTGATTATTGAGGAGATTAACCCTAATAAATAACCGTTAGTAAAAGGAATATTGCATTCTTGATATCAAAGGAAATTATTTTCCAAGGGATTTCCAAATTGACTTCAGTATTGGAAAAGATGATTAATCAAACGAAAAGACTAATAAAGATTCTTGAAGCAAACATTCTCGAGAAAAAAAGACTTGGGTTATCATAGTCAAGAAACTTAGCGATTAACTTTAATAATCTATAATAGTCCATAGTACAAAAAGCTGAAAATCAAAGAGATTGGGGAAAAAGAAAAGTAGTGAGTTGAAGCAAATCAAGTATGAATTGGAAGAAAGAGTACAAGTCAAAAAGGCAGGTGCTGGACTTTCATGTTGTTTGAGATACTTTTAGACTGCTTTTGTTTCAAAGTTGACATGACAACTTGTAAAAAATTTATTAGAAAGTTGCTCTGTCAATAGAAATATCAAGGAAAATGTTGGTGTACACTTTAGTCCTGCTTAGTAGCAATTTTTCATCCAAAAAAATAATTTTTTAACCATTATTTCACTATTTCAGTCGTCATTTTTTACTTCTTCACTTATAAATATTTCTATTTAACGGTCAAAAAATCAATTCTCATAATCACTATCGAACAAGCCTTTAGTTTGATAGCCCTCTAATAGGGGTGGAGCCCATAATTATAATAGGGGATGATATAATCGTGGACTCCACCCCTTACTAGAGGCTGTTAGTTGGAGTTTACATCAAAGGATGTACATATAACATTATTCAAATATCAAATACTATTTCATGTAGAATGATCTTAATAAAGCAGTCCAACATAGCCCTTGTTTGAGCCCCATTTTAGGGTAGGAATGAATTTTTGAATAGTGTATTGATGGGAAATGTGTGGTTATAATATATGAAACAGTTTTGGATTTACGTGTAATATTATTTTATTGTAAAATGTGATTGAAATTATGTTAAAATACGGTTGAAAAATGCATTTTTTCAAAAGAATGGAGCTCAAACAAGGACATAATGTACTGAAAAAGTTAAAGTTGCTTAGGGCTCCATCTTTAGATAGCAATGATGGTACTAACATGGGTCAGAATTCTTCCAATCAAATTTAAAAAATAAAAAAGAAAAAAAAAATGAGGAGTCTTCAATCTCTTTTTGACACCTCATCATATGTAAATCGTAACTTCATTATGTAGAAATAGCATTATTCAGATAATATATACAATCCAACTACACATACAGTGTAGTTGACATGCTAAGGTGGAAAATGTTTTTAAAAAAACCAAAATTCCCAAAAACGAATTTCTTTCTCGAAACCCATAACTGGACTCAACCTTTTCACCCCAAGAAAGAAATCCCAAATTCAAACCCCTCAAATCCTCTCCACCAAATTGTCTTCAATTTTCAGGCGGCATCGGAACCACTACCCAACTCCTTGCCACCTCCAATCATCGCATTGTTGAAAATTTACGTAATCATACGCAGCGGGAAATAAAATAAATTTCAATTCCCACCAATGATCTGTTTTATGTTTAGATAGAAATTATACATTTGTTGAAATCTGTAAACTCCTTTTCGTTTTTTTGTTCTAACAATCTCGATCTGTCATCTACAATTGTTCAATTATCCAACCTATAATGGAGATCCACACAGATAGTAAGATTGAGAGATAACCAGAGTTAACTTTTCTTGTGCTAGTAAGAAGAATGAAAAATCTCTACAGCTTGAAGCCCTAGCTGCTTCTTTATATAAGTCTAAACGGGTTTGACCTGTCTCCTAACCCGGTCCAATATTTAATGAACACATTTAATTAAATTCGGTCCATGAATTAATTAATAGAATTAATTAATTCGGGCCTATTAATATGCAATCCAATTAATTAATTTATCCAACGCTTATTAAATTAATTAATTGATAAATCTCAATCTTCTAGTTTTCATTTTGTGTGTGACCCATTAGGTTCCCAATTACGATGCCTAATGATGCGAATCATTATTTTTATCTAATCAAAATCGATAAATTAAAACACCTTTTTTAATTTATCGTCAATTCACATTTGTCATCCTAAATTGACATCTAACAATGTGTCAAGACAATACATATAACGTTGTATGACAAAATCAAATTTGTTCATTTATCGTGAAACTATAATCCCTTCATCAATATAATCCGATCAATTACGAAATATGAATAAGTCTCAATCTCAATTATCGATCATATATTTCATTCTACTATTAAGTTAATATAAGTGGAAAACCCATTTTTGACTTATGAGTACATATTGGCCAAGGATTTCATTATTAACTTAATTGAATGAAATATAGATCATAATCTCTTACTATTTAAGAGTGACGAATCATCTATTGATCATTCACAACATTCATACGATTCTTAACGTATTCGAATAATGCCATATTAGCGGCCCTTGGCAGAATAACATCCAATATCACCAAAGTATGACTCCCCTCATATAAGGCATTATGATAATCTCAAGTCAAATGCTCAATTCCACAACCGAACGTTAGAGATTAGCCACTAACAATTAAATAGTTATCCATGTAGAATCTTTTCGCGGGTTACCAATGTTTTGTTCTATAACAAATAAAACAAAACATTCATATGTTAATTTAAGTGTCACCACACTTTAACTTGTGAGATCAGTTATTTATTTCATAAGTAAGAAATGATATACGTGATGGTCTATCTGTAATAAAGATATTCGTATCTCGTTATTACTTACGATCATGGATTATTTAAAATTCAATTATACGTAATTTGTATCTCACAATCACAACACCTTGTGATTAACAAATTACTAAAATGCGAATCTACGGAATCTATTATTTAATATCGTTAAATAGAATATTGATTTAAATAAATTATAGATCTTGTCAAAATAAATGCATTAAACATATAAAAAGTATTTACAACCTAAATTGATTGAATTTAGGGTATAACACTTACAAACTCCCACTTACACTAGATCAAATCACTCATGTGTTTAATGTCATAAGCGTCTACATGACGATCATGCTTATATTGTGACAACAGGTTCATCAATGGATCTGTAATATCATCATCCGTGGGAACTCGCTCTATTTTCACGTCATTTCTTTATATAATCTTCCTGATGAGATGATATCGTCTTAACAAATATTTAAATAGTTGATGAGGCCTTATTTTCTTCGCTTGCGCAATGGGTCCATTGTTATCACAATACAGAGGTATGTGATCAACAATGTTAAGAACAACTCCAAATTCATTAATGAACTTTTTGATCCAGCCAGCTTTCTTCGCTGCTTTAGAAGCAGCAATGTACTCAGATTCTGTTGTTGAATCAACGATTATCTTCCGTTTGAAACTTTTCCAACTAAGCACTCCATTGTTGAGAGTAAACATATATCCAAATTGAGATTTGCTATCATCCTTATCTAATTGGAAGCTAGTATCAGTATATCCATAAACCTTTAGTTCATCTCCTCTATATATCAAAAACATATATTTAGCCCTTCTTAAGTACTTAAAAATGTTCTTAACTACTATCTAATATTTCTCACCATAATTTGCTTGAAACATGCTCATTATATTTAGAGCGTATGAAACATTTGGTCTCATATAGAGCATCTCATACATGATAGATCATATCGCTGATGCATAAGGAATATTTTCCATGGGATTCCTCTTATCATGTGTTTTATGACACATATCTTTTGAGAGGTAAATCCCATATAACATGGGATACAATCATCTTTTGGATTCTTCCATGTTAGACTAGGTTTGATTCTCATTTCTTCAAAATACGTTTTTCTCTATTTTCTTTTCAACCACACATTTTTCATTAAAATAATATTACACGTAAATAAAAAAAATTCTTATTTTTTAACCACATGTTTTCCATTAATTTACTATTCTAAAATGCATTTTTATCACAAAAATGGGGCTCAAACACTCTCTAAATCTTCTCAAAATTTTATCTATGTACACGATTGAGATAAGTCAAGCAATATTTTGATCTATCTCTATAGATTTTAATTACCAAGATATACGTTGTTTCTCCCATATTTTTCCTGGAGAAATTCTTTGACAACCATAATTTTACTGATTGAAGTATTTTGATGTCTTTTCTATTAATAATATGTCTTCTATATCTAATATTAAGAATACGATAATGCTTCCACTTGTCTTCTTATAAACACACGACTCATTTTCATTTTTAATAAAATCAAACTTGTTGATTGTCTCATCAAAATGAAGATTTCTACTCCTAGAGGCTTGCTTTAACCAATAAATGGATCGATTAATCTTACATACCTTGTTGGCTTCTTTGTATTCAAAACCTTCGGGTTGTTTCAATTTTTTTATACGTTGCATATGCTGTTTTGTTAGTTAATCATAATGCTATTGTTTAAGAGTTGGGAGATTGCTTTCATTGGTTGTAGAATAGGATGGAGGTAGGGCGGATGAGAAGATGTATTTTGATTAGGCGGTAGTACTAGTGCAGGGGCCAAGGTAAAATTACAAAAGAGTACAATGTTTGAAATGCTGTTAAATTAGTTCGTTGTAGCAGCAAATTTTTTTATCAGTGAGATCATTTGCTACTTTTGTTGTTAGTTCATTCATGGTATATGCTAAGAAATTTGGGAGTGGTAGTGATAGTGATGATGGTGATGGAAGGTGAAGAAGGCGACAATGGAATGTGGGTTTTGGTTTAGGGGGTTTGGGTAGAGTGGGTAGATATGGGTTGAGAAAGAAGAAAAATGATTTGAAACTCGTTTGTACTCTTTTTAAAAAATTAGGATTATAGTTACAATTAGTTCTTCGTTTTTTTTATTTTAGTATTTTGTTTTTTTTTAAAAACAAGAGGGCATATTTGTATTGTTCCATCTTTTTATTGAGAAAATAGATGGTAAGTGCCTTTTTTGCCAATTTCAAATGGGTGGGGGGGGGGGGGGTTTTTGTTTTTGCCCAACATGTCTAATAGGTGGGAAGTTTACTACACATGATCAAGTTTGTAGGGGGTTTTCAACTATGAACTTTAACTAGGGGTTTGTCTGCGAATTCAAGAAGAGAGTGGTAGTCCAAGTTATTGTCTCCAAGGCATGTGTTTAGAATATGTATTCTGCTATTTATATAAAGTGTGTTTACAAATTTGGTTGACAAAATGAGTGTTGGTAAAATTCAGGTCGTTGATTTCCAAGGATTTAAATTTTTTTTTTTTGAAATGATTGGTGTACATATTACTTTGTCAACCAACATTGTATATATAGTATAACTCTTAAAATATATGCCGTTTGAGTCCCATTTTGAGGAAAATAATGCATTTGGAATAGTAAATTGATGAAGAATGTATGGTTAAAAATTAAGAAATTTTTTTGGATTATGTGTAATATTATTTTTTTGAAGAATGTGTAGTTGAAAAAAAGTTTTGAAAAAATGAATTTTAAGAAGAATGGAGATAAAACAATGGCTATGTGTAACTATCTATCGTGTTTTGACTTTCGACCTTGCTCTCCATCAATTTCACACATATAAAAAATGTTTGAACATCTCCACAAGACTCTTTATTTATAAAGAATGGAGTATCGTTAAATTTAGATAGTCAAAATTTTTATGCACTTCAACAAAATTTTTTTATTATTATTTTAACTCTTTGTTTAGCCTTTCTTGAAAAATATTTATTGATTTCTCTTCATATTAGCCTATGGTTGGGCTCCATTAAAATTAAATTTTGGTAAAAAATGTGTTTCGGAATAGTGATTTTTTTAGAAAATGTGTGGTTTAAAATTTATATAAAGTTTTGGGTTTATATGTGATATTATTTTATTGAAAAATATGTTGTTGAAAATAAGAAGTACAAAAATATATTATTACAAAATGGGGCCCGGACGTGAGCTTAATTTAACACAATTTTTATATATTAATAACTAATCAATTTAAATGTGATTAGAACAATTTAAGAGCAGAATATTGAAAATTGTAACTTATTAAATGCAATTCTATACATTAAAAATAGAAAGTAAGTTTGACTCTCTAAATCTGGAGAATCAAACCTACTCTTTATTTTAAAAAGTTAAAATAAAGTTTTTTGGAACTTACTTTTAAACATTAGCTCTTTAAAATAAAAGGACATTTTATATTTAGAAAGATTCTTAGAAATGCTCTTCTATTTATAAATTACATGATATGCACTTGACGTAGAGGGTCCCATATATACCTAGGAGAGGTGATCGAAATTCTATTGACAACGTGTTCACACAAAAATTGAGGTCAACAAAAAATGTTTGTCCTTCAATTTATCCTTGTGAATGATCATCTTCCTTAATCAAAATATGTTGATAATTACTTTTATCGACTTCTAGAATAGGGATGGTAATTAGAGCTGTCAAAATCGAAAACCAAGGTTAATCGAATCGAATGGATTGAAAAAAATTGAACCGATGGCGCAATGAAATGTATATGATATTTAATTTTAATGCCCCGAATAACTTTTGAATTTTAGCATGTGATAGTTTTTGCCTGACAATTAACTTTTGCATAGGAGATTGTAAGCACTTTTGCATTTTATTATTATTCTTAAAATGATTTGAGTTGCACGAACTCTATTGCTTTTTCCTAGTGTGATATGAAGTTTCATCCCAGATCCCGTTAAGGGACAAATGATAAATTCCTTTTCATTGATTTCAAATTTTACTTAGAATGCTATTAAAACTTGGAATTCCATCTTAAATAATTAACTTTATTAACTAAAAGAGTCAAAATTGATATTTTTTTAATATATTATTTGATGTGAGATTTATCAAATTAATAAACTATCTCATGCTCCCCTCCTCCTATTTGCGTTCAATCACAACATAGCACAAATTGAAAGCGATATTTAAATAAATAAATATCTACGTTTTTAGTAGTTTCATTTTTTAGATAAATGATTAAACTCGATAATATATTTAGCCCTTGTTTGACATCAATTTTGTGAAGGATGAATTTTTAAAAAGTATATATATATATTTTGGAGAATATGTAGTTAAAAAGTAGAAAAAATTGATTTTATGTTAAGAATATTTTATTCTGAGAATGTAAAACTGAAAGTAAATATGAGAATTTTATTTTTGAAAGAATAGTTGCCAAACATAGGCTTAAATAGATGTGTATCTTAAAAAGAGGAAATTTCACGTAATGTTCATTTTCAGCGAGTCATTTGCCAAAATGTCCACAATTTTGTCAATGTCCATTTTCAAATTATGTAGACGAAAATACCCCTGTTAGAAATATTATTTTCACACAAGAATTCAAAATTTTCCATATCACTATTCATGTCATTCAACGTAGAAATGTCAATCAGCATTAAATGCCTGGGTTGGATAGGTGTGGGTCGATGTGGGTCGGGTTATGGGTCAAGTAGGTATGGGTTGAGTTGGATCGAGTTACGGGTAAAAAATAGAAAACCTGATATAACTCGACCCGAATACAAAAAAAAAAAAAAAAAAAAAAAATGAAGGCGGGGGGAATGAAAAAATAAAAGAAGCCCTAAACTAAGTCCTTTTAACTCTCACTCTCAGTCTCTCAATCTTTACTCTAACCCAACTCGCCGACAACGAGCATGTCCATTTCTCTCTTATTTTCCCAGTTGCCGTTTGCCCACCACACTTCAGAGTCCAGTGCTATAGAGTCAGTTTATTTCGTTATTTTTTTCACTTCCCCAAGTCTCCCCTCTTCCTAAATCCTAAGATTTGGCTAGTTTAACATAAATTGATGTCAAGGTCACTGAGTGTCTCTATTCTATTGGGCGAGCAAATACTAACTGTTGATACAATTTGAGATAAAAAGTGGTACATGTGAGATACTGTCAAAAAGGTTGAAGAGGTAAAGTGTTTAAAGAAATCAGGAAAATGATTGTACTTTCTGTTGTCCCTGTTATTGTATTTTTGCTTTTGAGATATAATCTATATGTGAACTAAATTTGATGCTGCTGGATGATAAATAACACTAGTACGAAGTGAAGAATACTCAATTTGAGGCATATTTCGCATCTGAGTTAGGCAATAAACATGATGAAATGACACAGATTGTGTTGCTATTATACACTCTTAAGACTGTTTGAATGCTCATCAGCAACTAAATGGCTTCATTTTCGCATCAAATTTGTTCTGCATCTTGTTGAGGGTTGCATTTGTATATTGATGGTTT